CGGCCCCCAGCCCCAGGCTGGACACGGAGGAGAAGGTGAGAGCCGGCTGGGGAGGGGGAGAAACGCCAGCGGGGGCAGCCCTGGAGCCGTGGGGCGGCCCCGACACTAAGTGCCACAGCAGAGAGGATCCTGGGAGAACGGGGCTCCCCATAATACAAAGCGTGGGAGGGCAGGTGTTCTTTTCCCACAATGCAAAGCGTGGGAGGGCAGGTGTTCTTTTCCCACAATGCAAAGCGTGGGAGGGCAGGTGTTCTTTTCCCACAATGCAAAGCGTGGGAGGGCAGGTGTTCTTTTCCCACAATGCAAAGCGTGGGAGGGCAGGTGTTCTTTTCCCACAATGCAAAGCGTGGGAGGGCAGGTGTTCTTTTCCCACAATGCAAAGCGTGGGAGGGCAGGTGTTCTTTTCCCACAATGCAAAGCGTGGGAGGGCAGGTGTTCTTTTCCCACAATGCAAAGCGTGGGAGGGCAGGTGTTCTTTTCCCACAATGCAAAGCGTGGGAGGGCAGGTGTTCTTTTCCCACAATGCAAAGCGTGGGAGGGCAGGTGTTCTTTTCCCACAATGCAAAGCGTGGGAGGGCAGGTGTTCTTTTCCCACAATGCAAAGCGTGGGAGGGCAGGTGTTCTTTTCCCACAATGCAAAGCGTGGGAGGGCAGGTGTTCTTTTCCCACAATGCAAAGCGTGCTCTTGCTCCTGTCTGTCTGTCTGTCTGTCCCACTAACTCTCCCGCTTTCCCTCCCCCTCAGCCACAGGACATCTGGGAAATCCTTCAGAAGTGGAACAGGACTCTGATTGGCCAGGAGTTAGCCAATAAGAGCATAGCCTCAGAGCTAGCCAGTCGGGAGGAAGGGAGTTCATCAGGTGACCGGGTAGGAGGCTCCGCCCATAGAGGAGTGGCCTTATCCCCTACCCACCTGCTGCTTAGCGTGTGTCAGCTGTGTCCTGATGCATTCTGGGACGTTTTAGGTCTAGTGACGGCTGTTAGGTGCTTAGTTGGAGCTGCCTTTCCTGAGGATCCGGGGGGGCCTGTTGGAAACTGGGGTCCCCGTCCTGGAGCATCAAGCAGGGATCACATAGGATCCCACTGGATCTCTCAATCCCGATGCCTGTTTTCCCCTTAACTCTGCCCTCCCTCCGGTCTATATCTTGCTCTTTAATTTTCCTGATTCCTGACTCTGTGACCTTAGATGCTCTCCCCTCCCAGAGCTGGGATGGAACCCAGGTGTCCTGGCTTCCAAGCCCAGCTCCCCCTCACCACTAGGCCTTCGCCCTTGCTGCGGCAGGGAGTGACACCTGGCTCCAGAGGGTATCCGCTGTGCTCTGGGCAGCGCCCCCTCCTTCCTGGAGCCTGGGCTAGCCCTGTACGTCCAGCCTCGGCCAACACATTCACGGCCTCTGTTTGCCCGCTAGAGCAAGGAGCCGCGGCTGGCACGGGTCCCCCCGACACCCACCCGGCGCATCTTCACCCTGCCCGACGCAGAGACACGCCGAGCGTGAGTCCCCCGGGCGCTGGCCTGGCTTGGGGAGGCGGGGCTAGTGGTTAGAGCAGAGGGAGAGCCAGGACTCTTGGGGTCTCCCCAGGCCGTGGTGGGAAGTGGGGTTGAGTGGTTAGAGCAGGCAGTGGAGGGCAGGGAAGTGGGGTTGAGTGGTTAGAGCAGGCAGTGGAGGGCAGGGAAGTGGGGTTGAGTGGTTAGAGCAGGCAGTGGAGGGCGGGGAAGTGGGGTTGAGTGGTTAGAGCAGGTGAGACTGGGCGCCAGGATGTGGGTTCCATCCCATCTCGGGGAGGGGGGTAGTGATTATGGTCTGGGGGCTGGGAGCCAGGTCTCCGGGGTCTCTCCCAGCTGTGGGGAGGGGAGTGGGGGGCCCCGGGGGGGG